AGTTTTCCTAAAAAGATTAACACAGTTAGTATCATCAGCAAGTTCAAACGAATCTTGAGATCCAAACAACCACTACAATTCTAGTAGCACAATTTCATATGGTTCTGACAAATACTTTGGGGTACATCCTACTTCGATGCTGTTGTATTTAAAGCTGTTATTTAAATATTAAACTAGTTCAACTAATCTTCTTTCCTAGTTTAATATGCATTTACAGGTTACAACAGTCTTCAAATAGTATCATCAATAAGTTGCTAACATTGGTTAGTGCAGGTGATACTTGCTGCTAATGATATGCCTTCAATCAATGATGTCACGTATCCAGAGCTGGTTGAGATTATAAACGAGGTAAGAAGGACAAGGGTTGTAAATAACCTCTGTCACAAGGATCTGACTTCTGACTTCTGTTGTGCAATTGTTTTAGCTCAAGGATGCAGATGGAAAGCTATCAGGTGTAGATGCATCCGGCCTCCTTGTTGCCAACTCTGGCAACGATCTGCCTGTAATCAAACCTTGCTATGCATGCAACTATGTTGTCCTTGTTCTATGGCATTATCTTGGATGCTTAACTAGATTACTGTCTATTTTCAGGTAATTGATTTATCTAGTGTGTCACCAGAGCTTGCCTTTATGGCAAATGATGCTGACCTGGTGATGCTCGAAGGCATGGTAAGCTTTTCATGTCCGTCCTTATTTGCAAGGTCTCCTAATTGAAGGACACATGGTCATTCAGTTTCTACCTGCTTGTATTATAGGGAAGAGCAATTGAAACAAACCTATATGCGCAAATGAAATGTGACTCGATCAAGATTGGAATGGTGACCTGTTCTGTACTTCCGTTCAATTATGTAACATGAATGTCCACTAGTTGCAGATGATGATAACTCCATTGTCATTCTACATTTTCAGGTGAAGCATCCTGAGGTCGCCCAATTTTTAGGAGGAAGACTTTATGATTGTGTCTTCAAGTTCAATGAGGCCTGAACTACGAGATACATTGGATAACACGATACCAGCTGCACTACTAGTGGTTTAGTTTTCCCCAAGATCAGCTTGTTAGGTGTTGCACTGAACATAGTTGTGTTAGCATCAGCAATGATATCAAGCAAAATAAGCTACGTATTGTGGTGGTTTTTGAAAGTGTTAGGAAGGGAGGTTATTGCATTTTGTATGAAATCTGATGCACCAGTTCCCATTTGACGCATCGGTAGCCAAATCGCGCCCGTCTGAACTTCAGGTCATACTCGTTTGTGCTTATGGTCCATAATAATTGGTTAGCTACCACTGGCTTGTAAACATCAAGGTGGATATTCTTTTTTGACAACTATTTCTCTCTAGTCTGTAGCAGTAACATTTAAAATCCTTAGGTCCTTGACTACCTTAAAGTGGGCCTACTTCTATCAGTAACCTCACTTGTTCTATGATCCAACAACCCAACTGAGTTGCTGCGGTGCCACTTTCATTGGGTAGCTGCAATTGGGACGTTCACTTGCTCAGTATGCTTGTCCGGGACCATACTATTTTGTACCCATGTAGGCAAACTCTATTTCGGAAGAAAACAGGAGGTACAGGAAGACAGATTGGAGTGAACATGCTGGAGAAAACAGCAGGAAAACAGCGGGACCGTACTATTTTGTGCTCAGTATGCTTGTCAGCGATGATCAATTTGTTGCAAGCCAGCCTCTTGGGCCCAAACACACAAGCACGCACTAGATGCACAGACAAAAGCGATTATCATTTTGTTGCAAGCCATCCGGTAGATAGACGGCCTCTTGGGCCCAAACAAACTCACACGTACTAGATGCACAGAACAAGGCCCAACATTTTCGAACCCACCTTTCTTTCGCCTCTACGTCCATTTGTTTCTTGGCTTAGGCCCACCTACCTATTATACCTATGATGGCATGACTTGACAGATATGCCAATTTTATGGATTTTGGATCCAAAGATAGATGACTCAGATCTTTTCTGTCCAAATAAAACCCTAGCCATAGTATCCCTTATCTTCCTCCAACCCGTCTAGACTCCTTTTTGGCGGCGCCGTCTTGTCTACCTAAATAAAACCCTAGGCGTCGGCGCACTCCTCCTCCTCCTAGTCGCCGAAAGTTCTATTGCTAATCAAAGTGAGCTACTCTACCTCGCATCGTCGTCTTGGCTCATTTTGTCGCTAGATTCCACAAACCGCCGTGACAATTCATCTTTGAGGATTAAGATTGCCATGCTCAAAAAAGGATTAAGATTGCATCTATCGCCGTCGGAGTCACCCACCTTTTTCATTCGCAAAAGGTAATACGCGACGGGTCGCGCGCGCCCCACCTTCCTCCTCACACTCACCTCCTCCCCGACCATCTTCTCCTTCTTCCCCAACTCTGGTGCCTGAGACCGAGACTGAGACCGTGCCCGTCTTCTTCTTTCCCAACTCCGGCAGGCTTAGAAGAGAAAGGGCTCAAGGGAGGCAGGGCGGCTAGCGCGGTGGGGACGGCGGGAGGGCGGCGTTAGGGTTCTGGTGGCAGTGGAGGCGATCGGGCCAGGTGTGGCCGGGGGCGATGATATATAGCCATGGCGGCGGTGGGAGGGGAGGGGGGGGAGAAGGAGGCCACCGCGGGCGCGCTAGGGTTTTGCGTGAGCTCTGCGGTCGCGGAGCTTCAGCGAAACGCTAGCACGCTGCGGCGGGATGGTGGACGACGAGCGCGAGGAAGGGGGCGCCGCGGCGAGGACGAGAAGAAGGGCGGGGCGGGGGCAGGAGGCGAGTGATACGGGACCTATGGTGCTGACGAGGACGGGTCGAGGCAAGGACGAGCGCAGAGAGAGGCCGTCGCGAGGAAGACGACAGATCACGCGTTTCCCAAACGCGCGACCTGTCACGTGTTAACGTCCTCCTCCATTCCAAAGTGCTACCACCTGTCACGTGTTAACGTCCTCCTCCATTCCAAAGTGCTACCACCTGTCACGTGTTAACGTCCTCCTCCATTCCAAAGTGCTACCACCTGTCACGTGTTAACGTCCTCCTTCATTCCAAAGTGCTACCCCCCGTGCCTCTAGCCATGTCGGACTACTTCCACATCACTAAGTAGCTAGTCATGGCTGTTTCTCTTGCCCCGCCGACCCTAAAACTCTTAATTGTAGCCTCAATGATGAAGTTTTATGTTACTGCAGAAGGAGGCTTATAGCTGATCTAAACATGGATCCGCAAGGTAGAGGAAGCCTAGCCGATCTAAGCATGGATCTACAAGGAGACAGCAAGGTATGAAATTGGAGTTTTAATTTCGGCCTGTTCTCACACCTTTTATGTTTTGCTTGCTAATTGTTATTACCAAGCTTTTTTTGTGGGATAAAGTAAGGGTTAGGCTAGCCATCCCAAATTTGTAGAATGTGATCATTGGATTCCTTTTTTGTGATCATTGGATTTCAATGGATACTCTGATTTACTGTGAGAGAAAAACACTGTTTATTCGCTGAAAAGTCCTGATCCAGTAGTGCTGCACAGAGCGTTCGTCATTGTTTTCCTCGTACTACCGCAGTACGCATTAATCCTCTTGTTACCTCAGCACACATCATGCCTCCTTGTATCTATTCCAGGTAGTGCTTCTGCCACCTGGCCAGCTCAAGCGACGCCACCACTGTTAGTGACGCCCCCACTATTAGATTAGCTCAACCGCCATCCCTAGCTATACTATGGCTTATCTCGCCCGCCTTCACTACCATGACGGTGACCTTTCTCAACACGCCTTATAGATGGGAAGGTAAAAAATCTTGGCCCTCCCAATTCCTAAGCTGAACTCGTTCGTCTAGATTTGCCATAGTCGGAGAAGAAGAGCTCTCTCTCTCTCTCTCTCTCTCTCTCTCTCTCTCTCTCTATATATATATATATATATATATATATATATATATATATATATATATATATATATATATATATATATATATATCTCTATATCTCTCTCTCTCTCTCTCTCTATATATATATATATATAGTCGGAGATAAGATATCTATCTCTCTCTCTATATATATATATATATATATATATATATATAAATCTCTAACCTGCACGCTGGACAGACAATCACCCATTGACTTGCCAATAAATGGCCTCATAGATGCACGTCCCATGCCTTATATTATAATTTTGTAAGTGAACTTGGAGAAAATACCTCTAGAGATAGAAATGCAGCTTCGATCTTCTATTATGCCCTCACTTATCAAATCATATACTTGTCAAATATCAGACAGAGCCACTAATCGCCATCACACACATCTAGATGATCGTATTACACACTACACATCTAGCACTTCTAGTTCTAGGCAGTCATTGACCATGATAAACCTTCTAGACAAATCCTCCAGTAACAAATTCAACAGGTCCTCCCACCTAAATCTTCGACAAATAAATAACACAGTTCATAATAATCTCCAAATTCCTCTAAAAAAAATTCTCCAAATTATAAGGGCCATTTCCTGCTCACTCTATCTTTTTTGGTTCTTAAGCCTCACAGGTTCTATATCATTGGCTGCCTATATAAGCACAAAGGGATGGATTCACAAACTGGATAGTCGATATACCAAAATTAGGGGGGGGGCAGTACATTGGTCCAGGGAAACATGCCTAGATTAATGGGGCGCAACAGAACGGACCAGTGCAGCCTGAAGACTTCAAAACACTACTATCAACACGGCCACACAGCACAAATAACCGAAATAAGAGCAGGAGAATGACAAAAAGGCATTTGATAGGAAAAAAAATCATCTAATTTACTGTATGCTACCACCACTTTGGAGTTTGGAGTGCCTCAATGATGCAACATATTAAGACAAGCAGCAAACCAGAACTTCACTGTAACCAGTTAGAAGTACCTAAATAGGATCGACTCTCATAACGATCTGGTGAAACTAAATTGACGCTCGAGGATCATCAGTTCCTTCAGCAGGAGTACCTAATGAAGTCTAATCCCCATCCTTCCCTCCTCAACCCCACGGCCCTACTCCACCATAGCTGGTAAGCTCATTTCCAGGGGGGAAAGTTTGGGAAACCTGGTGGCTGTGTGCTGGTGCTGAAGGAGCCTGTGGTGTTTGGTGGGCTTGCATGCCCACCCGAGGACTCAGTACCCCTAGATGGACTGCTGGCAGTTGGAAACCTTCCGAAAACATGTTTTTCGGGTGCTGATCCAGGGTCAAGCTCCATTTTTGTATCAGCCAGAAAGCTTCCAATGACCACCTGAACAGCAGAATAACAAAAACACAATCCATTAAGAGATTTGTCAATCTTCCAGGAGTAAGTGCAAAAACACTAAGCTAAAACCGATTGCCCAAAAAAAAAAATATAACTGATCATTTTATCATGTTTTGTGTTAGATGACAGTATGTATATATATATCATCACTTGGAAAATCACTTGCAATGATAGTATTGCATAGTGGGAAGTAAAGCACATGATTCGTGAAACAAAGAGAGCAAGGTATCAGATGTAAAAATCTTAATTGAGATAGTGAATTCAGAATAACAGGGGAACCTGAACTGGCGAAGCTGCGGTTAGAGGACCTGCTACAGCACCACCTAAAACACGCCCATCAGGACCAGCAAGAGCAACACTAAGTCCACCTGTTCGACTGCTCATGCCAGCACTTTCTGACAGAAGATACGACCCAGCCAAAGAAAGAATTTCAAAACGGCCCTGCATATTGGATGCAAGAAACTGTCATTCAAAATTTAGTGCAAGCACATAAGTTAATTACTTCCAGAACCACTAAACAATAGGCCCTTATAGAGATGTATTGCCAGAAAAAAAGGTCCATCCTTCTCTTATGTTTTATGCATTGTATTTTCCATTCTATCTCAGTATATCCTGGTGGTGTAGCCAGTGTCACAGGGAACATGGAACGGTGCCACGTTCCTTGTACTAGGAATGTCGTTATTATCCCAGGAACGTGGGAACATTCTCATGTCCACCGTGTAAAAACTAAAAACCTGTCTCAAGTACCGTACTGTGCTCCTCAACCCTATCGACCTAGGAACTTGGTGACTCGAGGTTTAGCTGGGATATAGTTCTATAGATATACCAGAAAAAAAGGATATTTAAACTGAGCAAGATAATTCAAAGTTGGAAGAATCTACAAACCTCATAAGTTACTGTTCCACCAGAAGACTCTCCTTGACGCAGGGTCACGTTAGATACAGCACCATTGGCTGTGAGGATACAAACTGCCCATCCATTCCCAGAAAATGACATGGCTCTTGATGCTACATCCTGAAATCATGGATCCTTCTTTAGCAGGTTACCATACAAGTTCACAAAGAAAATGAATTTGGAACGGAAAGCTGAGGAACATGTGAAAAACAGCTGTTATGGGCTAGGTTGGAACACATAGCATATATGGAGTAAGAGACAACCAGCCAAGGTTTTCGAGAAAAAAGACAACCAGCCAAGGACCAAGGTCCATAGTGGTGTCTCACTCTGGTAAGGGTGGTGCAGTGGGGCGGTGGTGTGGCAAGGTTGACTCCTCAACACTAGAGAGTAATTTCGTAACAATAGGCAGATAATAATAGAAAATAAATATTTAAAAGGAATCCAGGCCCTAACATATAGGGAGCCACTACCTAATGCTCACCCGACATAATAGCAGTCAGCAGGAAAAAATACACAAGGCAGCACTGAGTAATCATGAAACAAATATGTAAAATGAAGATATAATACAAGAAAAAGGCGCCTCAAGCTAAGGGAAAAAACTAAATCAGAGGTTTGCAGTGAAGAACCATACAACAAGATAAGCACAGAAATAGGTGACAGGGAAACAATATAGTAACATGATTGAAAAATAAGTATTCACCCTTCCATTCTAACAAGTATACTTAGCAGACTATCACAGAATAGCACGAACTTTAAGAAAAAAATTTACCATCGATAAAGCTTGCAGTAGATCAGGCTAAGACGACTAACTCTACTCAGGTTTGAATAAGCTCAAACCATTTAACAATAGGCCAGCATGAAAGGTATACTAAAGATATGGGTCATGCAAGTATATATATGGTTTGCTGAAGTCCAGGCTAAGGAGCATGACATAAAGTTCACAAAATAAAAGAGCAGGATGTCAGGCGTAATAAACATTTCCTGAGGCAGGGCAAATCTTATATCCAAAGAGCAGCACAGTCATACAATTGCACTAGGTAATTAAAAATAGAGAAAAAAAAGTTATGGCACCATAATAGCAAGTGTGGAACACAAAAGGACAACTTCGTAAAGGAAAAAAATAGAGATTAATCAGTATATGACTTCACATTAACCATGGAATAGACAATATAGCTTAAGAAAATGATGCTATTAGTATAGCTTGAAAAAATGATGCAAGTAAACATAACCCATACAGATTTTGATATAAGAGATGACAAAAATCCTAAGACTGCATAAGTACATCTGTAGGAGCATCATAAGCATTGGACAGTGTACCTCTCCAGCTTGGACTGTGAAAATATGAGGCTTCCATCCAGCCCAGCCTGGTCCTGCAAAACAAAATTTCAGGAAACATTATATATAATCTAATAATCATAGTGCCATCAAATTGAATTAATATGTATAAACCTCAAGATAGTCCCACGATATCTAGTATGCCATGCAAAATATCCATAGCCATAAGTACACTTTTGGAGGGATCTGAACACATGGTACTAACGGCAAGTTTATAATAACTAATAACAATTAAATGCATAGGAGCTCAAAGGTTTTTTTTGGATTAGGAGCTCAAAGTTGAAGGTGCAGTGATCCAAGAACAAAAGTCAAACATCGCTTAAGTTATTAAACAAAAGATAACCATGGATGAATAGTTCAATATATTCCAACTGAGTAAACTAAACACAAATAGTGCGCTAATACTGTGAAAATATTTCAAATCCGGAACTGGAACAACATAATATTACTATGCCAATGCAAGCCAACAGGAGATTAATCACAACTAAGAGTACAAAAGGCCAGATCCCCACAGGAACCACAATAAGCTAATAAATCACATAATGACAACTACCACGAACTAGTAACGGAACGGATTACTTTCGAGTTGCCACCAGCACAACCTTTCCCTAAGTGACTCAGTTCCACTTAGAGCAACGAGACAACTATCCTGAAGAAACCTCACTGTATTTTTCTCAAGAATGAAGGAAAGGATTAAAGCTCATCTATGTTCAGTTCTTGCCAAATCGTTTTTTGAATGAAAACTCTAGCATGGAGAAGGCCAAGGTCGGTTGCGTTCGGCTGGCCGGCCGGCTGGGGCTGGGCTGGCCAGCGCACTCACACGGGCACTGTGCACGTGAACAGTATTTTTCCCTCGCCCCAATCAGCCGGAACCGGAACAGTAGTTTGACTTACTCTTCAGTCCCGCCGAACACTCTCGTTATTATCACCAAGTATTCCATTCCCCGCCCACAACTCCACCCCTGATTGCCACTGCTGCCAGCATGACAGCAAACAAAAAGAAAAGAAGAATGAATGAAATGATAAATAAATAAATGAATGCTAATCCCTGGTACTCGTTTTGCCCATTCCGAAGTACCACAAGTATATATACGTGTATCTGAAGCTCTGAACAGAAATACGATCAAAGCCATCAATGCCGCCTTGCACGTTTCGCTACTTCTACGCTCCAGCTGAAAAGGCAGGCAGAACATTACCAGGCACTGCCGCCTGCGGCTGTTGCTTCTTGCTGGAGGGGCCCGGCAGCCGGCCCCGCTTCTTGACAGCGGGAGCACCTGACGCCGCCGCCGGCGGCGGCGCCGGTGAGACCTGGGAACTCACCACGCCACCACCCTGCGAGCTTGGAGAGAAGCCAGGAGGAATCGTGGGTGAAGCCTCAGGGGCAGTTGGGGCAGGAGCAGTGGGTGGCTGCGACGGGGGCACGATAGCCAGGGGCACGGCGCCGTCCGCGGGGCCGTACTTGCGCGGGCGCCCGCGCTTGCGCTTGAAGGGCTCAGAAGTGGCGGGGGAATGAGCTAGCCCCGGAGCCGCCGGCACGACGGCATTGCTGCCCGCGGGCTGTTGGTAGAACGGCGGGATGGCCGGTTTCCCGTAGCCGGCGATGCCGTCAGGGGTGTAGAAGACCGAGCCGGGGCCGGGCTGCGGCGCCTGGTGCTGCTGCAGGGACCCCTTCTGCACGCCTCCGCCATACGCCGCTTCACTCGCCGCCGCCATCGCTGACATGGTTCACCCCGCAAGCACAGCTCGAGCAGAGGAACCAAGGAAAGGTCCCTCCTTTCGATCTCGCCGGAGCCAGGCACTCCCAAGATTCACCAACCTAGACAGCAAGCACGATGGCCATCAGCTCAAAAATTCCAAGCCGCAGTGTCCCGGCGATGAATTATGCGAGATCAAGAAGCGTACTTAAGACAGGAGAGTGTACTTACTCAAGCGAACAGCAAACACCCAGGTACAAAATCCCCCTTACTATTTTGCTTGTTTTTCCTTTTCATTCTCTTTTCTCTGACAAGATTCCGAATTTCACAGTAGCACGGAAGAAACCCCCAAAAACGAAATTTTCACAGTCACAAATTTCTTCTACGAAATACGGCGGAGCAAACGAAAAACTCAAGATAAACCCTAAAAATCACGCGAATAAAACGGAGAAATTAGCGACGGGCACAGGAAGCGGCATCAAGTTCCCATGATTTTTGCAAATCCTTGCCTCGAATTCCCCTAACCCGTTCGCGAATTTCTCGACCGAAATACTGAGAAGAGAAAAAAAAGCTTCTGCAATCTACGGAGGAGAAAATGTCTAAAGCCCAGGGATTAATAGAGAGGAAGGGGAGCGTATGCTTTTTCGCGGGGACCCCGGGTATACGCAGAATTTGCTGCGGTTACTGTCTTTTGCCAATTTTCCTGGCCTTTTATTTCAGCTACTGCGAATTTTGCGGTAACCGAGGGGGTTGCTGAAAAGCTGGTGGGAGAGATATTTACCTTTTCGTCAGCGTTCACGTGAATTGAGAAATTGGTTTTCTTTTTTTTAGAGGAAAATCCGTTTTTTCCGCGTCGTGTTCACATGATGCTGTCATGTCATTTTTCGGAAGCTATTTATTGCCCGCCTAGCTGTTGGCATTTTCACGTGTCCCCTACTATAGTCTGCGGCACCAACTATAGCCTACATAGGCCTTTCACTTGAAAAAAAAAAACTATACGCCTTTTGGTGGGCCAGCCTCGTCAGTGTCTGACAGGGACAAAGAGGCGTCAGCAGAAGGGGACACCTGGACGTATTATTCCGGCTGGGGCGTGCTTCTGGTTTTCTTTTCCTTTTCTTTTGCACAAGGAGCGTGGCTGTGCATATAAAATCTTTTACACATATATGGTAATTGGATTTAATACGAGCACATAGTTTACAGATAATTACATTAAAGCCAGGGGAATATGAATGCCAACCCATATGTTACTGGGATTTTGAGATTTGGTTGCATATGCCCATCTAGAGCAACTCTAAATAGAGATTTTAGTAAAAAAAAGATCTCCTTCAGCAGCTTTTTAATAACTAAATTAAATACTTCTATTCTCTATTGTTTCTCACTTGCACAAACAAAGAGAGTGAAATTAGCTTTTCAAAGTGCCAAAAAAGATATAAAAAATGTCGGAGGATGTAGAGATATATAAAGCTATTTTTATTAGAATGGCCCTCCAAATAAGGATTTATCTAGTGGGTTCAAGAAATACAATTGGATATGCTCTTATGTTGCAAAAACCACTGCAGTATGCTATACTTAAGTGGTTCAACACATTTCATGTATTCCAAGATGCCAATATACTCTTAGGGCCAGTTTGGATGCAAAATATTTTTGAAGTACTGGAGAAATACCATAATTTTATGAAATACTTTGGTGCTTAGATGCAACAAATCTTGTAGTCTCCAAAACCATAGTTTTATCAAAACTATAGTCTTTTTGAGTTTGAGAAACTCTGTTGATGACCTCTTTTTTCTAAACCACAATTTTTTTTGATCTCTTTAGCTTATAAAACCACAGCTCTATACAATTTTCGAAAAAGCATCATCCAAATAGACCCTTAAAGGTATAATTTTGCTATATTTGGGATATTTCACCAAAAGAGTTGTCGGTGAATGCTAGGGATGAAAACCCATCGGATACAAACGGATATGTACATATATAAATATGAGTACTTATTCTTTCTTCGGATTCGGAGTCGGATACAGATAGTGTTAGGATCTAGTGACACGAACATGGATGAGTGATAGTTATGTTTCATACTAAACAGTAGTAAGTATTATGTGGTTACTTGACACTTGTATTGTCATCAAAGTCTCTTGGTTGTCAACCTAGACTAATTATAACAGATAACGAAATCTACTAGCAAATAAGCACCAAAATAAATCCATAAAAGATTCAATTCATTCCAATTTAGGCACCATAAGATAGAGAATAATTTTAGGAAATAATATGAAGCTAGTTTGATATTTTTTTATCTAAATTAATTTTTCTATGATTTTTATGGTTAAACTAGATTTTAGGATTTTTAAATGCCCAATTTTTCAATAAATATTTGGACAATTTCTTTGAATTTTTTTATAGTCCAATTTACCCCCTAAACTATCAACGTAGTTCGATTTACTCCCTCTTAGCTGATATAGCGCCATCGTAGAATAGCGATTTACTCCCTCTTAGCTGATATAGCGCCATCGTAGAATAGCTAATGCGGTACCACATTAACAAAAGCTGTCCAGGGTGTAAAAACAAAATTTTTAAAAATTGAAGGGTGAAAGTACACTGGTTTTGTAAATAAGACAGGGTGACCATGAAAATTGAGGGAATCAAAAGAACTTTTTCCCACCAAATCCCATAAGGCCTGATACAATAAAGAGGCATATAGAACTTTACCCAAGTTGTTTCAGCCCACTCGATCAAAACATAGAAACAATCACAGTATTTTAAAAGAATTAAGGCGTGATAAATAAATTAACTAATTTGTCACATGAATTTTTGGACTAGGATGTCCGGACGAGTAAGGATTTTTTTATCCTTTGCAATGCATGCACATATTTTTGTAATAAAGCATAAAAGGAAAGCCTTTTCATGAGCCTATATACGTAAATGATTAAAAAAATAGTGACATGAGGAAAAAACTACTCTCTAGAAAAATTATAGAAATGATTTTTAAAGGTTTCTTATTTTTTAAAAGTTGTTGACGGCTCTTAACACCCTCCTTTGCCATCAACAAATAGCCATGAAATGTATAAAATCAAGAATGAAATGACACTTTATGTTTAGATTTCACTTGGTTTCACATGTATTTGGAGAATTATGCTTGCAGGGATAAAATAGGCAAAAAGGAGCAAAACCAAGCCTTCTAGAAGCCATCCACGTGGCCAGGAGAGGCAGGGCCCACAGGGGGGCGCCGCCCGGCCCCACCTAGCACCCTGCCACGTCAATGATCCATGGGAGGGTGGCCTAGAGTGTGTGAAGCGTTGATCCAAGGTCAGTTCACTCAGTGGCTAGGATTTGCTTCTCTTGGATCGAAGGGCCCACTGTCATACAAAGAGAGGCCTTCAACCGACTTAAGCACCAACTTACTATGGAAGTTTCGACACGTGATGTCTTTGCCATCGCCTTGGAGAGCCATCCATCACCCTACGATGTAGAGGCGATGGAATCAAGGGCCGACCGACGCCCCCTTAAGGCCACCTAGCGCCCAAGTTTCCTCCACCACCATACTAGCTGCCTATAAGTACCCCCTCCCTCATTTCAGCTATAAATAGAGGTCGTGAGCTCATTTGTAAGACACACAAGTGAAGAAAGAGCTCTCAAGAGAGTAACTTAGCTTAGGATAGATAGTCTCTAGAGTAGAGAGAAGGCGAGGAGAAGCTGGAGGAGGAGCCGGGCTTGTTGATGACTTCTTCCTGTAGCTTCGCGACTCTTCTATGGTAATTCTGTTCCCATTCTTGTATTCAGTTTTGTTACATTTCTATTGTTTACAGGTTTCACCGTTTGGTTAGAGTACTCTAGTCTTATTTCATCGGGATCCAGATTAGAGTAGTAAGCGCATAGATTAAGCGTGGTGCTTAGGCTATACCTTACCTGTGTTTGCGGCTAAGTCTCCAGATAGATTATGGTAGTTGGCAAGTGGTGACAGCTTTGTCCATCCTCTGTATTCCACCACGATAGGCTTAGTTATTAAATCATAGGGCTCATGGCAGACCTTGTCTAGTTAACCCTCCTGGATGGTAGGCGAGCTGTGCCCCGAAGTAAACAATTGTTATCTACCATTCCTTGTTCAAGTAATAGTAGTAGAATCATCCATAGTATTCCACTCCTTTCCTCCCCAACAGCAATAGAAATCAATTAGTTCTAGAATTCGATCACTCCTTGTTCCCTGTGGATTTGATACCCAGGATTACTTCTTGGTGAAAAGCTACTCTAACAACCGTGCGCTTGCGGTCTTTTCTTGGTGAAAAGCTTGTTAGAGTAGCTTTTCTAGCGCCGTTGCCAGGGAACGATAGCTGATCATTGTGAATCTAGAATTAGGATTTCAATTTTTATCCTTGTTTTAACCTGTTATGGAAAACATGTCTATATACCAATATGCTGCTCCACGGAGTACGCAATTAGAACCACCTTTATCATCCCAGCCCATATTTTTTGATAGTTATGAGCTACGTCCTAGTTTCATAACTAAAGTTTTGGAGCATATTTTCTCAGGAGATGAGAAAGAAAATCCATACATTCACTTACGTGAATTCGAGCAAGTGTGCTCATGCTTGCATATATCAGGCATGTCACAAGAGACCCTTAAGTGGAAGCTATTTTTGTTCTCTTTGACAGGATTAGGCAAGCTGTGGTATACTCGAAACGTAGGAAGTGTACATGGAGAATGGGAGGTTTTGGAACAAAATTTTGCATAGCTTTTTTCCCTACCTCCCGGGTATCTCAACTCCATCGTGAAGTTCTTAATTTCTAACAAGAGGAAAAAGAAACCTTAGGAGCAGCCTGGGCCCGTTTTAATGATATAATATCTTCGGGGCCCGACCTAACTATTCCTGACCCGATATTGTTACAACACGTATATCTAGGACTTAGTAAGGAGACTACCCATTATTTAAATATCACTTCAGGAGGATCATTCCTTCATCTGTCTCCCCGAGAAGGGAAAGATGTTCTTAACAAAATTGCTGAGAACACTCCTTATACGAGCATTCATGATGAATGTCC